TCAAGAGGATCGTGTATTCCTAAGCAAGGTTAAGGAAGGAATTATTTACCCGCGAAGAATCACACTACGAGTTACCACTTCCATTCAGAGAACAACATGTCCAGCTTCCAAATAATCGCCCTCAAGCAGCTCAAAGATTCATTGGTTTAAAGAAGAAACTTGAATCAAATGACAAGTACCGTGCTGATTATGTGGATTTTATGATTGGCATAATAGACAAGGGTTATGCTAGCAAGATAGATCTAGGGAACTTATCAACGCAAAAAAGAAAAGTATGGTACTTACCTCATCACGGAATATATCACCCGAGAAAACCGAGTAGCATTCGTGTGGTATTCGACTGTTCAGCTCGTTACCATGGTGAATCATTAAATGATTATCTTCTTCAAGGTCTTGATTTGACTAGCAAATTGAATGGCGTATTGACAAGATTCAGAGAAGAAAGGGTGGCGTTCATGGCAGATATCGAGAAGATGTTCTACCAAGTTAAGGTGAAGGAAGCGGATCAGTATTTCCTTCGTTTTCTATGGTGGTCCAATGGAAACTTAACAAAGGAGTCAGAAGAGCACTGCATGACAACTAGTATGTGACTCGACAGACAGCTTATCCGACGAGAACAAATACTTTCACCGTGTTTTTACGAAGAACAACTACAACAACGACTTCATCCGACGAAACACTCACCGACCCACTACCACTACCGAAACAAACGACACCGCAACCCCTACGACTACAGCAACCATACCGTACATAAAAGGCATGTCTGAAAACATCTCGCGCATCTTACTACCCTCTTTACCGACAGACCGAAACAGACCAATCACGACCGACTTACGTCACTTGAGTCTTACAGCCAATAACATCACGGCAAAACCAACCGATCATTTCACACGAACTGGAATAAGAACATTCTACTGACAACAATCATTCACTTGACTCTGATGATGACTTCCGCACAGGTTGTCGAAACGTCAGTCACTGCCACCGACAACAGTCCTTCTCAGGACTACACTCACCCGGACGATCAGACTACACCTTCACATGTTACCCCCGGGTTCAAACCATTTACTGCAAGAACTTCTATGTTAACGATTTATTGAAATCCTTGCCCACAGAAGAGGATGCAATAGAGGTTCTCCATGATGTGAAGAACTTATGTGCAAAGGAAGGATTCAACTTCACTAAGTTCGTCAGCAACAGTCGGAGAGTGATTATGTCAGTATTACCTGAAGACAGAGCCAAGGAAATTAAAGGTTTGGACTTAGGTCAAGACAAGCTTCCCATAGAAAGAGCATTGGCATACACTAGTGCATTCAATCGAATACTTCAAGTTCAAGTTTCGGATGGAGATGAAAGATCAGCCTTGCACTCGAAGAGGAATGTTGTCAACAATTAGTTCAGTGTATGACCCTTTGGGTTTCATAGCACCTGTCGTCCTAGTTGGAAAGCGGATACTGCAAGAAATTTGTGATGACAGCAGTTGGGACGAGCCCGTTGAAGGTGATATCCTGTCACGTTGGGAGAATTGGAGAAGTCAACTGCCCCTCTTAGAAACAATCAGCATTCCAAGGTGTTTCAAACCCTCAGACTTTGGCAAGGTGGTTTCAGCACAATTGCACAATATGTCAGATGCCTCAGGATCGGGATACGGGCAATGCTCATATCTACTTTTAGTTCATGACAACAATCGTATACATTGCTCCTTTGTTGTGGGCAAGGCACACGTCGCACCAAGAAAAACAGTAAGCATCCCTAGGCTAGAATTAGCAGCGGCTGCTGTTTCAGTAAAAGTAGCTAATGTGCTGAAGTATGAGTTGAACTATGAGAGAATCGAAGAACTTTATTGGACTGACAGCAAGGCAGTTCTTGGGTTCATCAACAACGAGTCCCGAAGATTTCATGTTTACCTGGCAAATAGAGTGCAGCTGATAAGAGATTACACTTCGCCATCACAGTGGCGGTATGTTGAGTCTGCATCTAATCCAGCAGATGAAGGTTCGCGAGGTCTGAACGCGAGACATTTTCTACAGAAATCCCAATGGGTCAAAGGCCCGGATTTCTTATGGAAAAGTGAAAACCACTGACCGGAGCAAGATTCGTTTGAAAAGGAGCTCGACCCTAACGGTCCAGAAGTGAAGATCACTGTACATACTACTGTTTCTAAAAAGAAGAAAGATATGCTGAGCAGGTTAGAAAGATTCTCCAGTTGGCAAAGGCTAAAAACAGCAATTGCGTTGTGTATGAAGTACAATTAGCAGCTAAAGATGAGCGTAAACGAGGCAATAAGCAGATCTCTTGTGAAAGAAACCTCTCAGGGTGCGCCCAGCAGTGGACAGAAATGTGATGGTAAAGATTGTCCTGTTGTCACATCTGTTATGGTGAATGACTTAGAACAAGCTGAAGTTGAAGTCATCAAACTAGTGCAAGCTGACGCCTTCGAAAGAGAAATTAAAGCATTAAAAGAGCTTCAAACTGAAGTAAAGTGTGGAAGTCGACAATGTGATAAAGAGAAGAAAGTTTCTATGAAGAAAACCACCAGTCTACATACAATGGATCCATTGTTAGATTGCAATCGAGTTTTGAGAGTTGGAGAACGGATCAAGAAAGCCAACTTGTCAGATAGTCTTAAAAATGCTGTCATTTTGCCGAAGGTGGGCCACGTTACCCAGCTGATTATCCGTCATGTTCTCGAGAAGACGCAACACAGTGGGCGAGGTGTCACTTTAAATGAGTTACGCACAAATAGTTAATGGATCATAAATGGAAATGCAGCTGTCCAGCATTTCATTTCAAAATGCGTCACATGTCGTTATCTCCGTGGAGGTGCACGGGAACAAAAGATGGCCAGTCTTCCAAAGTCACGTGTTGAGCCTGCGCCGCCATTTACTTACAGTGCAGTTGACTATTTCGGACCGTGGTGTGTGAAAGAGGGCCGGAAAGAAGTTAAAAGGTATGGAGCCTTGTTTACATGTATGGCTAGTCGTGCCATACACACAGAAGTAGCACACTCCTTGGAAACAAATTCATTCCTGCAAGCGTTAGGGAGGTTTATTTCTCGAATAAACCATAAGAGAATTACGTAGTGATCGAGGTTCTAACTTTATCGGAGCTCAAAACGAATTGAAGAAGGCGCTACAAGACATGGATGACGATCAGATTAGGACAGAGCTACTGAAACATGACATCGATTAGGTTAGGAATCTTGCCACAGCAAGCAATTTTGGAGGAGTATGGGAAAGACAAATTAGATCTGCGAGGAACATTATGGCGGCGCTAATGAGAAAACACAGCCACAGTTTGGATGATGAAGCGTTGAGAACCCCAATGTACGAAACAGAAGCGGTTGTAAACAATCGACTCCAAACGATGGAAACATTGAGTGATCCTCTTTCGCCGCTACCACTTACCCCAAGTACACTTCTCACCAGCGAAACAAAGCTTATGTTGCCACCTCCAGGAAAGTTCCAAAAGGAAGATATCAATTGTAAACAGCGCCAGAGACGTTTTCAGCACATTGCAAATGAATTTTGGTCACGATGGAACAAAGAGTACTTGCAAAGTCTACAAGTGAGAAAGAAGTGGACACGTCAACGAAGAAATTTCACTGAAGGTGATGTTGTATTGCATAAAGACATCAACACTTGCAGAAATTAGTGGTCCCTGGCCAAACTACTCAAAACCTTTCCGGATGACCAAGGTCAAGTCAGATCAGTGACTGTCCGAACTTCGAGGGGATCCTTACTGGAGCGGCCCATCAACAAACTTGTCCTTTTGTTAGAGTCAAATGAAGAGAGACCGGGAATCCCCGACGAGGAGCCACTTAACGAGAATTCAATGTGATTTGAAAAAGACTAGCATTTAACAAACATTGAACGATGTTAGGATAAGCATTTTAAGAGGAGCCATGTTAATGCTGGCGCATTAGATTACAGCGGCATTTAGTTTAAGTTTTCGTTTCCAGTCTTGGCTCGGACAAGACATACATGTTTTCACTGTTCGGGCCACAAGGTTCTACGTAGCCTCACTTAAATGAATTTCCAGATAGTATCAACGACGGTTACAGGTGTAGTATATGTAGTAGGTGTAGGAAGTGTCTTAGTTGTAGTTGGGGTAGTAGGTGCAGTGAGTGTAGTTAGTGTAGTATGTGTAGTAGGTGTACTACGTGTAGTAGGTGTAGTAGGTGTAGTATGTGTTTTAAGTGCAGTAGGTGTAGTAGGTGTAGTATTTGTAGTAAGTGTAGTAGGTGTAGTAAGTGTAGTAGGTGCAGTATGCAAAGTAGGTGTAGTATGTGTAGTAAGTGTAGTAGATGTAGTAGGTTTAGTAGGTGTAGTAAGTGTAGTAGATGTAGTAAGTGTAGTAGGTGTAGTAGGTGTGGCTAGTATAGTAAATGTAGTAGGTGTGGTAGGTGTAGCAAGTGAAGTAGGTCTAGTAAGTTTGGTAGGTGTCTTAGCTGTAGAAAGTGTAGTAGGTGTAGTAAGAGAAGTGGCTGTAATAGGTGTAGTATGTGTAGTAAGTAGAGTAATTGCAGTACGTGTAGTACGTGTGGTAGATGTAGTAGGTGTAGCAAGTGTAGTAGTAGTTAGCGTAGTTGGTGTAGTGCGTGTACTAGGTGTAGTAGGTGTAGTAAGTGTAGTAGGTGTAGTAAGTGTGATAGATGTAGTAGGTGTAGTAGGTGTAGCAGTTGTAGTTGGTGTAGTAGGCATATTAAGTGCACTAGGTGTAGTAGGTGTAGTAGATGTGGTAGATGTAGTTGGTGTAGTAGGTGTAGTAAGTGTAGTAGCTGTAATAGGTGTAGTAAGTGTAGTAGGTGTAGTAGGTGTGGAAGGTGTAATAGGTGTAGTGGGTGCAGTAAGTGTAGTAGGTGTAGTAGGTGTAGCAAGTGTAGTAGGTGCAGTAGGGGTATTAAGTGTAGTAGGCGTCCTGGGTGTATTATATAAAGTAACTGTAGTAGGTGTAGGTGTAGTTGGTGTAGTAAGTGTAGTAGGTGTAGCACTAGGTGTAGTACTAGGTGTAATACTTGCTGTACTAGTTGTAGTACATGTAGTGGGTGTGGTAGGTGTAGTAGGTGTATTATGTGTGGTAGGTGTAGTAGGTGTAGCAAGTGTAGTAGGTGTAGTAGGTAGAACAGGTGTAGGAGGTGTGATAGGTGTAGTGGGTGTAGTAAGTGCAGTAGGTGTAGTAAGTGTAGCAAGTGTAGTTGGTGTAATAGGGATATTAGATGTAGTAGGCATAGCGGGTGTATTATATGTACTAAGTGTAGAGGGTGTAGGACGTGTAGTACTAGGTGTAATACTTGCTGTACTAGTTGTAGTACAGGTAGTGGGTGTGGTAGGTGTAGTAGGTGTACTATGTGTGGTAGGTGTAGTAGGTGTAGTAGGTGTAGCAAGTGTAGTAGGTGTAGTAGGTAGAACAGGTGTAGTAGGTGTGATAGGTGTAGTGGGTGTAGTAAGTGCAGTAGGTGTAGTAAGTGTAGCAAGTGTAGTTGGTGTAATAGGGATATTAGATGTAGTAGGCATAGCGGGTGTATTATATTTACTAAGTGTAGAAGGTGTAGGACGTGTAGTAGGTGTAGTTGGTGTAGTAGGTGTAGCAAGTGTATTAGGTGTAGTAAGTTTAGTAGGTGCAGTAGGTGGAGTAATTGAGTAGGTGTAGTAAGTGTAGTAGGTGTAGTAGATGTAATAGGTTTAGTAGGTTGTTACGTGCACGAATGACCAACGAATGTCCGCTAACAAAGCATATATGAAAATAGACTCCCGAGTACGATATATGGCACGCAACAAAAATGTAACAACAAGCAGTTACCCATTTTAACTATTATTTAATCAGTATTACATTGTCTAGTTTACTTAGGTTAAAGATTAAGTTAAGTAGTTCATAAAGTAGGCTTACAATCCTTCATGCCGTGTAAGTGTTCGTCGTCTTGATCAACTTCCAATTCCAACATCCGCCGACTGAAGACCACAGCGCTTGGCTTTCTTGATT